GGACAGAGCCAGGGGCAGTGCGGGTGCGTGGCAGAGGGCATCTGGCCAGTCACCATCCTCAAGTAAAGGGGGTTACTTTCCCAATAAGGTCACATTTTAGTGACCTCCAGGGAAGTTCCCTTGCCTCAATGATCTCCCCTGCTCCAGAGCGGGTTAGGAAGCCTGAGATCCGATACAGAGGTTATTTTCCTACTGTTTCCAGGTGCATGTGACTCGAGGGGTTGTGCCAGGGCAGCCCTGGCTGCTGGGAGAGGGGATGGGGCCAAGGGAGGGAAGGGTGGTGTGGAAGCCGGGGCTGGGATCCCCCTGCTCTGGGCTGCCCCTCACGCCTGGACTCTGCCCCTCAGTGCAGTTGTCACCCGGCCCCTCCCTGAGGGCTGCTCGCGGGTACTGGATTAGGGATTAAGAAGTCAGGGCTTAAAATCGGCTAACTTGCCTAAGGTCATTTGGCCAGGGACAGTGGCCCTAGATTTGGAAGTCAGCTCAGGGACACCTAGCAGGGACATCCAGCACCTCCCAGAACACTGCCTTGCCTCTGGGGGCTGCTGGGGGCCGGGTGCCAGAGCTGGGAGTGTGGCTCGGCCTCAGGGCTCGGGCTGGAATTGCGTCTCAGGCTCAGTGGCACCTCCTTGGGGTCTGCCCCAGGACCGGTGATGTAATTTTTGGCACCCGGTGCAAAATGAAAATGTGGGCCCCCTTGTCCAAAAAGTAGGAGTTTCAAGATGGTGACCGCAGAGCATTAAATCGATTGTGGGGCCTGCCTGGCTGCCCGGTTGGCGGTTGGGCCAGCAGCTGGCTGACTGCCTCCCGCACAGCTGCCCCCAGTGTCCCACCACCGCTGAAAGCCTCATGCACAGTGCTCTCTCTGGGATCTAGACTCAATTTTGAAATGCTTCTAGGTTTGTTTCTGGTTTGTTGAGGTTTCTTTACTCCTCCGATTGTAGGAGTTTTGATACTGACTTTTGCCCCGAAATGGGTCCCTGCTTCACTATGCGTACCCTAGACATGCAAGCCTCAGCCTGCCCTCGCTGGCTCGTCCGTGGTGCTGCTCAGAGCAGTGCGGCATGCGCACATGGAGGGCGCCTGGGCAGGGACATCGGCGGGTCTGGGGCTGTGGGTCAGGCAAGCATCAGGGGGCAGGTCTTGGGCCTCGGGGAGGGGGAGGAGTGGGCCACAGGAAGAGGCCCAAGGTGGCAAGGCTGTGGTGGGTGGGCATGGCAGTTCCCTCGCATGGGCTGACACCTCTTCTTCCCTGCTCCTTCTTCTGGCTCCCGGTGGCCTAGTGGTGGAGAGCATGGGTGCTGATTCCAGCTGACTGTCATTGCAGCTGCGGGACTGTGCATGGGGCACTCACCCTCCGTAAGCCCCTGACCCTGGGACAGGAATACCACCTGGTGGGCCCGCTGTCATTCAGACCAGGGCAGCCTTCGATAAATAGGTTGTACCACTATCCCAAGAGTGTCTCCGGGACAGGAACACCCCATCCCTGCCTGCGCTCTGAGTTTGCCTCTGCTTGGCTCCTGAACCCCCTGCCTGCCCTGACCGGGCTCTGGTCCTTACCTCTCACAGCCGGGTCCAGGTGCGAGGGAGGAGGGCTGCGGGGTGGCAGGTGGGCTGTGGCCAATGGGTGGTGGCGCTGCCGGTGGGCTCCGTGCAGCTGCGGTCGAAGGGCTGGCTATTTAAGGAGAGGAGGGGAGACCGCAGCCCCTCTGGCCCTGAAAGGCCGCTTCATTCCGAGAGGTTCCTTGTGCGGTGGGCCACTCCTACGGCTGCCTCTGCTGCCACTGCGTCGTGAATATTCCAGTGTGTCCCAGCCCGCATGCCCCCCCCGGCCCCCCCAGCTTGGCCACTGAGTGTCACAGAGGCCGAGTGTGTGACTATGTTGGAAGCCGTGGAGTGGGCACGGGCTGGGCGGGGTGGGGGGACTGGCTGGGACTGACAGAGACAAGAGGACGTTTCAGCACAGGGTAATTTCCTACCAATGGGGGGCAGGGAGGGGCTGGCCGCCATGGCAACGGGCCTGGGCTCCCAAGCCTGCTCGGGGACTGTAGAGGGGGTCTTGTGAATGGGGAGGCTGGGAGGCTGAGGAGCCTTGTTTGGTCGAATGAGAGGGGACTCTTTCAGGACACTTGCTGTAGGGTCCTTGTGTCTTGCCCCGTATAATGAGGCTCCGTTCGGGCGTGCGGAATAAATCGTGGCCTTTCTCTTGAGCGGGGCACAGCTGCAGGCCGCCTCATAATGGGGCGCTGTCTGTGCCTGTGAGGACGCCACTCCGCCCGCGAGGCCTGGCCCTTACCTGGGCGGGCTCCTCCCCTGGACAGGAGGCCTGTGAAGACGGCCACTGCTGCCCACTGCCTAGGAGTCCCCAAGACTCCTCCTGGGGGTGGCTCGAGGCTGGGGGGGTTGGGATGTGGATGGTGGACGGTGGCTGTTCCTGAGACCGAGCAAGCAAAGCTCATTTCCCCCCATCTTTCCCCAAAGGATATATCTGGTAACACAGGGAACCAAATCACCACGCCCAATCTCAAAAGACCTTTGCAGTTTTTAGTTAAAACATTAAAAAAATGTACATAGCTATCATTGGGCAGTAACTACCATGTATACTATCTAAATCTGTTTTTCACACAGTCCTGTGCAGTTGGGAGTATTGCCCATTCTACAGATGAGGAAACAGGCTCAGAGAGGTGAAGTAACTTGCCAGGAAGTGGCAGAGTCAGGATTTGAACCCAAGCACGTGTCACTCCAAAACTTACGATTTGTGTGTGTTAATGTTCTGGTTCGTTCTGGTTTTCTGTTGCATCTTGATGCCGGAATTCTTAGGTACCATCTTCATTCTACCTAGAAAAGAATTGTGCAGATTGCCTTTAGATCTGGTGCTGGGATCTGGTCTGTTGAAAAGACGTTTTCCCGTGTGCCTGGGGGGCTCAGTCAGTTAAGTGTCTGCCTTTGGCTCAGGTCATAGTCTCAGGGTCCTGGGATCGAATCTCGCGTCAGGCTCCCTGCTCAGTGGGAAGTCTGCTCCCCTGCCCCCACAAATAAATAAATAGAATCTTAAAAAGAAAAGACGTTTCCCATCTGGGATTCCTCGTGGGGCACTGGGCTCCTCACTTTGGTCTTGGCTGGGAGCCAATGGGGTTCGCAGGTGAGTGACCAGGGCCCAGGCCCTCCCCTGTGCTGCCCCGCGTGGAGGTCCGGAAGGACCGGCTCACACGGATTTGATATGAGGGTGTCCGACTGGCTACTTCTATTGTTGGGTGATTGCAAATGGTAGCTGTGAGGGCATCGATCATTGCAGCAGAATTCTGGGGAGTTGTGCTAATTTCTATAGCTTTGAAATGAAAGTTATTCCATATGGCTTGAGTGTTGTTGTAATGCTAAGAGTAGTCACCAAAATCGGGAGTGGGGTCATAGGGAATAAATGCCGTGTCTGTGACAGAGACACAAGCAGGTGGCAGGTGTGGTGTGGACAGGGTGAGCCACAGTGATCTGGCGGCTGTGGGAGCAGCTCTGCTTGGGCCTGCTGTGGCAGGGGGTCTGGGTGAACAGGTGGGGATAGGGATCTGGGGACCGATGGGGCAAAGCCTTAGTCAGGGAGACGAAGACTGCAGCGACAGGCCACGTCTGTGTCCCGTGGGTAGGTGGAGTCAGGTGGCCCCGGTGAGGGGACGGGCTCCCAGTCCTGGCTGTACTGTCATGGGAGATGGTACCCACTGTCTCTCACCCTCCTCTCTTCTACAATCATTCATTCACTCACCTACCAGAGACTCAGCCTGAGCTGCTACCCTGTGTGGGACACAGCCTGGAGCCAGTCAGCAGTTTAACATGGTTACCAGGCACTCATTTGGGTCCCTGGGCCTTCCCACCCGCTGGGGAGAGAAGACACAAATAAAGGAAGCAGACAGCAGTGTTAAGCTGCAGGGAGTCCAGACCCCGGTGAGGTGGTAGACCTTGTGGTTGCCACCATGGGCAGTGAGCTGGCCTCCCTGGCATCTAGGATCTGCCCATCACGCCTGGTTGGAGGATCCTGAGTCTGACAGTTAATCTCTTAACTAGATTCCTTGATCAGCCTATAAAAGAGGTTGACTGTGGGTATCAGGTCCCTGTAGAGAGGCTCCCTGTGGATGGGCGGCTGGGAAGGCAGGAAGGGAGGGCCCGGATGCAACAGGATAGCTTACAGACTGGGGTGGCAAGTGGGGGATGGGAGTAATGGATTGGGGCCTTTGTACATCTTCGCTTGGGGACCCTGAATCTAAATTCCTGACACCTTTGAGGCACAGAAACAGAAACCATGTTGATTTCTCTCTCAGTAGAGACCACAGCTGTTGCCCAATGCAGGGAGTAGCATCAGAAATTACTCTGAGGTCTTTACAAAAAAGACTCTGTAATGATAGTTCCTGGGTTTGGGGGCCTCCATCTGACACAGCTGTGCTTGTCTTTGGAGACAGAAAGCCTGTAGATGTACGGGTCTCTCTTTGTGTGACAGACCCCGAAGGAAGGGGGTGTGCAGGCCAGACAGACCTGGGCCTCCTTGGCTGCTCTGCTGGGCACAGCGGGGTTTTCGAGCTAACAGTCACTATTCAGTTACGCACCCATGTTCAGAGACATTTGAAAAATAAAATTAATTTTTCAGCAAATGGCAGTGAAATGTCTACTCTATTCCATATGATGTCCTAGGCTCAGAAAAAGTGGGGAGAAGAAAACTATCACGTTTCCTCTGCCATCCAAAGACGGCAAACACCAACATTCTGGTGTATTTCTTCCTAGTCATTCTCCAGTGCAGGAGTCCCCTTTTGAGAGGGCACGTCTGTAGCCTTCCTGGCCACGGGATTATTTAGCTAGCTTTTCTGGACCACTCGCTGGGCTCTGGAGGCTTATGGGCATTGTTAAAGCTGCAGGCAGGAGTCCAGGGGGTCTCTTCTCCCAGGAGGCAGACCGTGCTGTTTGGGGAGGGAGAGAGGGAGCGGGCCGTTGGCCCCTAACACCTGCCTCACTTCCCACAGGCACCTGTGCCGGCCTTGCCACAACCGGGAGAAGGCCAAGGGCCTGGGCAAGTATGTCTGCCAGCGGTGCCATCTGGTCATTGATGAGCAGCCCCTTATGTTCAAGAATGACGCCTACCACCCGGACCACTTCAGTTGCACCCACTGCGGGTACATGCACGGCTGGGTCCCTGTGCCGGGGGCAGGTGGTGAGCCGGGTGGGACCCCCACCTGGGGCAGTGATGGGACGGGCAGGTGGACAATCGGAGAGGGGGTGCAGGGCGGACGTAGAGGGCATCGCTGCAGGAAACGCCTCTCTGCAGGCCCCTGTTCAGGGAGCCCTTGCATGAGGCCCCGCGGGATGAGGGAGGCCTGAGGCCCTGGAAGCTGGGAGGGAGGAATCAAAGGCTTGGAAGGCCAGGGCAAGGAGGAGGGGTTGGTGCTGCTGTTGGAGAGGGGAGGAGAGGGGACAGAAACTGCAGAGCATTCCCTCATCCCTGCCCCAGACACCCAGTCTGGTGCGGAGGAGCCAGAGAACAGATCTGCTTCTCAGAGGGCCTGACAATGCACAACACAGACTGCCTTCTGCGAGGCCTGTGTAGGAATCTTGTGCCCCGGGGCCTGTCTGGGGCACAGGAAGTCCCCGAAGAGCCCAGAGATCAAAGAGCCGCCTGCCCTGGGCACTGTGTTGGACTGGAGCGGGGCTTCTCCGGAAGCTGCTCCCTGGGGCTGGAGGGGCTGGTGGGACCCGCCAGCGCCAGCGCAGGCCCTGCAGAGGGGCAGGGATGTCACCTGGGGCTCCTCTCTGTCTTCCAGGAAGGAGCTGACTGCAGAGGCCCGAGAGCTGAAGGGTGAGCTCTATTGCCTGCCCTGCCATGACAAGATGGGCGTCCCCATCTGTGGGGCCTGTCGCCGGCCCATCGAGGGCCGTGTGGTCAACGCACTGGGCAAGCAGTGGCACGTGGAGGTGAGCGAGGCCGGGGGGCGGTGGGGCGCTCACTGTTATATTGGGAGTCTGGCCCTGCAGCGCCTCCACACTCCCACCCCAGGCCATGTGGTTTGCTCCCGGCAGGGACCTTCCTCCTGGGTGCTGCCCCTCCTTGTGCCTGGCCTCCACGGGAGCCAGGAGACCTGAGGGCACAGGCCACGGTCAGGCAGCTGTGCCCACCTTCTTTTCTCCCCGTCCTGGCCTTCTGGAGGATTCCAAAGTCATGAGAAAACCTTGGGGACAGTCTGCCTGAGACACCCCGTGGGATTATGGTTGGCAGAACTGGCTGTGCACAGCCTCCCGGAGACACGGAGGCTGGGCGCACCTGCCGGCTGAGCTCCTCAGGTGTGTCCGCCTGCGTTACCTGGAACATTCACCTCTACACTGTGGGCTCTAATGGTCTTACAGACCCTTGTTGGGAGGCTTGTGTTCCCTGATGCCCTGACTAGGTCTGTGTCCCAGAGGCGCTGTCTTGGGTTCTGATGCAGGCCCCGGTCCCTGGCCCCCCCTAGGAGGGCGAACCCCCACACACCATAGGAACTGGAAGATGCCGCTCAGTGACCCGGGGCCTACAGGGGATGCTCACAGGAGGCAGACACATGCAGCCTTCGGTGGGGGGGGGCACCCTGCTTATAATAGAGCAGCCCCAGCGAGGAGGGCGCACGGTGCACCAGGCACCTCGCCAGCACCTGACAGCTTGGGCCGAGGTTGCTGAGGTGGGGAGCAGCCCTGGAGGGGATGGGGATACGTGTCACTGTGCACCGGGGAAGGACTGGGGTCTGCTGACTCATGGGTGGTCCGTGGAGGTGGCAGCCCCACTGCCCAGCGGTGAGGCCGGTGAGGCCGGTGAGGCACCCCATCCCCTGTCTCCCGGGGTGGGGGGCCTGCTCCAGCCCTGAGCTGCCCTGCCTGTCCCCTCTCCTCTCAGCACTTTGTCTGCGCCAAGTGTGAGAAGCCATTTCTGGGGCACCGGCACTACGAGAAGAAGGGCCTGGCCTACTGTGAGACCCACTACAACCAGGTAGGGCCCGGGGGGCAGAGCGTGGACGGGCAGGGCCTGCGGAGGCCCGGGGCTGGAGGGCGGCTGTGGGGCCGAGGGGAGCCCTCAGGGAGGTGATGGTGTCAGTGGCCAGAATGCTGCAGGCACCCAGCTGGGCAGGAGAGGACAAGGACAGCCCCTCCAGAGCCCATGCTGGGTGTGGAGGCTGGGCTGTGTGCTCAGTGCCATTTGAGACCCTGGCCCAGGCCTGCTGTGGGAACTGAATGGAGGGCTGTGTGAGGTCCTGGGCTCATGGGGGTGGCATATGCTGCCGTCCTTCCCCCTCCTGCCAGTCTGGCAGAGCTGCCCAGTTGCTGTGGTCCAGAAGTCAGGGGGTACGGCTGTGGCACGTCCCTCTCACCGACGCCAGCAGGAGCAACGGGGCCTTCCTGGGAGCAATGCCTCAAGCTGCTGTCCGTCCTGGGGTGGTGATTCTGACGGGCCAGGGGTGCCCTCACCTCAGGCCTGAGACCACACCCTGGCAGAAGGGGCCCAGGAGTCTCGGGGGGGGTGCTTGAGAGCAGCTGTTTGGGATGGGATGGGGGCCAGGTGGCAGCCTGCCACAAGTTTGACACCTGCTCTGTCCACAGCTCTTTGGGGACGTCTGCTATAACTGCAGCCATGTGATCGAGGGTGATGGTAAGGCTCCTCTGTCCCTGCCCCCCGCCCCTGCCCTCGCGTGCCTGAGGCTGGCCCTCTGGCATGTGGGTCCTGCCGCTGCAGGCCCGGCCGGTCCTGAGCCAGCCTGGGCCTGCTCAGCCTGCCCGCCCCCACCCCCACAGTGGTGTCAGCACTCAACAAGGCCTGGTGCGTGCATTGCTTCTCCTGTTCCACCTGCAACAGCAAGCTCACCCTGAAGTAAGTGGTGCCGGCCTCCTGGGTTTTCCAGGGTGGGCAGAGAGGGATCTGCACTGCCTCCGCCTCCTCCTGGAGCCTGTCACGGGAGCTCAGATTTGGGTAGGCTGCGCAGGGGCTCTTCATCAGGCTTTCCCTGGGTCCCTGCTGTGGTCAGGCCCTGGGGATGCAGTGGCAGTAAGGGCAGCCCCAGCCCCTCGGAGGCAGATTGAGGGGCCCCCAGGGCAGGGTGAGAGGGGGAGCGATGTGAGCCTCCGACACACCAGTGAAGACACTGGGCTCTGAGGAGGGAAGGGCATTCCAGCTCAGGGAACAGCATGTTTGAAGGCAAAGGGGTCAACCACAGGAGGTGCAGAATGGCTGGAGCTGTGAGGTGAGGTGGAGCCCAGGTTTCTGAGGACAGCAGGGAGTCGTGGACAGTTCTGGAGTACCAGAAGCTTCTGGGAGGGAAAGGAGGCCTGGAGGCCTGATTCCTTGTCACCCGTGACCCCTGGCAGAAGCTCACCCTGGCACCTGGACTGCTGTGGGCCAGAGGCCAGGGGAAGCTCTCTGCTCCGCCTCTGCAGGCTGAGTTGGTGGGGCCCGGGGGCTCTCCTGACTGCTGGACCTCCTCCGCAGGAACAAGTTTGTGGAGTTCGACATGAAGCCTGTGTGTAAGAGATGCTATGAGAAGTTCCCGCTGGAGCTGAAGAAGCGGCTGAAGAAGCTGTCAGAACTGGCCGCGCGCAAGGCCCAGCCCAAGTCCGTGGGCCTCAACTCTGCCTGAGAGGCCTCCTGCCCACCCTCTGCCTCCACCCCATCCCTTCCTGCTGGCACCCCCTGCCCTTCGCTGCCTCCACTCCTCATCTCTGCTCCCTGTCTGTGGCCTCCCCCTCCTTCCTTCCTCTGCCCCTCCCCTCCCATACCTCTTCCGCCCCTCCCCTTCTTTCTCTCCCTTCTTTCCCTCCCCCACCTCGCTCCCCTGCTTTCTTTGCTCACCACCCCTTCTTTTGCCCCTAATCCCTCCTCCCCAGACCTCTCTTCTCTCCCTTGCTGTGGGCTCCTCTCTCTCCTTCTGTGCAGGCATGGGGCAGACGCAGGGCCCTTGAGCCTGTGACGACCTGTGCCCACAAGCCTTAGCTCCAGGTCCTCCGCGAGTGAATCAGGGCCTGGGGTCACCTGGCCCTGGTCGTGGGCCACTGCTCCCAGCCCTGCTCATCCAGACTTGTCCCATTCCTGCAGGGGCACCCAGCAGCTCACATCCTTCTGTGGGAGCTTGGCCAGCCTCCACCCCATAGTGGTCCCACTGTGCGCACATGGCCCTGGGGAGGCCACAGCCAGGCAGCTGCTCCAGCCCCATGACCCTAGCCATGAGCAGGGGGGCCTCTGGGGAACCACCCTTTGACCCTTGGCCACACACCCAACCAAGTAGGTTGTGCTTAAACTGCCACCGCACCCCACAAATCATCCTCGGAGGGACAAGCACCCCCCCCCCCCCCCACCGCCATCACTCAGGAAGCCTCCTTCCTGAAATCTGGCCTTGGCCACTCCACCCTGGGCCAGGGGCCACTGTGGCTCCCTGAAGCTCCTCTGTGGTCCCCTCAGCACCTCGGGCTCCCTGCTGCTTACCCGCCCCCCCCCCCTGAGGGCACGTGCTGATTCTCTGGGTGTAGCTGACCGGGGGCCAGAAGGTAGTGGCCTTCTGACTCACTCTGACCCTCCAGGGCCAGCACAGGAACTGGCGCTTGCATGATGACTGAAGGCTTACTTACACGACCACATGGCCGGCGTGGGTTTTGGCGTGAGAGGGAGCAGGTAAGGCCGCAGCCCCCATGGACATACTGCTTCGGGGTCGTTTAACGCTTAGAGACATAGACACAGAACAGGACTAGGACCCAGCTCTTGCTGGCAGGGCCAGGCTGCCGTCGGGCCTTGGAGACCAGTCCAGCCAGAAACCTTCAGTCCATGAAGGCTGGCCAGGTGGGTAGGATAGGTAGGATGGAGCCCGCCAGCATGGTGGCAATGAACCCAGGCCACTAAGGCTGTGCGTCCAGCTCTGCTCCCACCTGGGCACAGGCTGGCCTTCGCGTGAAGCCAGCAGCCAGAGAGCAGGCAGGCCTGGCCTGCACCTGCACCAGGCCCTCCTGGGAGCAGTTATGTGTCCCAGTGCCCTGTGGGGGAAGGAGAAAGGTACGCAAAGGGGCCTCATAGGAAGAGGCAGGAGGGAGGGGGAAAGCAGATGAGGGGAGGAGGGAGAGACCAATGAAGTCATTCACGGAGAATGGAGTTGTCATCCAGGCATCCCCAGAGAAGTCACAATGCTTTTTGCTTTTTCTGGAAGAGACCTTTTGCTGGCCAGTGCCTCCTAGGCCTCCTGCCCACCTGACCATCCCCCCCACCCCGCCCCACCTTCTCTAACACATTGCACACTGCTTCAGGAATTTTTATTGAACATTCTTGGGGGAGTCCTTTCAGCCATCCACTCATCAACCTGGAGGCCTGACACTCCCGGCCCCGCCCTGGGCTCCCCACTTTGGCCTCCATGGTCAGCCCCTCAGGAGAGGAGGCCTACCTGGTGGGCTGAGGGATGTGGGTGTGTTCTGGAGAGAGGGCAGTATGAAAGGCTGCCTGCAGAGGGCAGGCTCTGGGCCAAGAAGAGGGCCTTAGGGAAGTGCCACCAGGACCCCCAATTGGGAAGGGTGAGTGAGTGGGCAGGCCAGCTCCCGGTGCTAAGGGTCGGCCGGGGCTGGGGCCTGGGAGCCCCGCTGCTTGTTCATGGTGCTCAGGAGCTGCTGCACGTACGAGGTCAGCAGGTCATCCATCTTGTAGCCCTGGACAGGGGAAGGGTGGGGTTGGAGGCTGTGAGGGGCAGTGGCGGTGCCCTGCTTCTGCCTCAAGGACACACTGAATAGGGAGGTGAAGAGGCGAGCAGGGCTCCTGCTACTGAGAACAGCCCTCCTCCCTCCTCAGAGTGGCCCAGGACCACAGGGGGCCCGCACCAGACCTTGCCACCACAGTCCCTGGATGACACTCCCAGCCTTTTTCTTGCTGCTCCTCCTTCCCAGACTCTGCTGGCCCGGCCTGGCCTAGTCCACCCTGGGCACAGGAAGCCTGGCCCTCTCGTGAGCCACTTCCCTGGTGGCAGTCTGGGGTCAGGGTTAGGGAAACGTAGTCCCTGGTGCCTCTGTGTGCTGTGTGTCTGGGTTGGGGGAAGGGACCTGGGATGCCCAGGAGGCCCCCAGGGCTGGGGCTCACCAGAGACGTCTCACACAGCAAGCGGTTGCCCCGGGCCAGGCTCCCCAGCGCCATGTGGAAGTAGGTGCTACCACTGCTCCAGCTGGAGATCTTGGTGAAGGGGTAGGTGGTGAGCAGTTCCTGGGGGGCAGAGTGGGCAGGGCGGGTAGGACCCAGCTGAAGCCCAGGGGGCCTAGGGGCCCTGAGTTTGAGCTGCTGTTCAGGGGTCCTCCAGAGCCCACGGGGCCGTGTGAGCGAGGGACAGAAGGGCAGGGGTGTACGACCTGTGTGGGGGTATGGGACTCTGGCAGCTTCCCCAGCCCTGCCCGGGCCCTGCTGCTACCTTGGTCTTGGGGTGGATAAGCAGAACCCCGTGCCGGTTGATGGCGATGAGGATGATGTCTGGGTAGGAGGGCTCCGAGGTTTGCTGGGGAGGGGGGCACCGTGGTCATAGCCCAGCCAAGGAGCCCAGGGGGCCACCTCCCTGAGGCACACCCATGCACACGCATGCACACATGCTCCTTCCAAACCAGGTGGCCAGGCCCACCCCTAGATGTGAGTTGAAAGAGGAGCTGGGGCCGCTGGGGCCAGAGCCAGGTGAAGCCTACCTTCACCTTGAAGAAGGCAGACCCAAACGTGGGCCACCGGCAGATCCACTTGAGGAAGGCCACTTTGGCCTCCTGTACTGTCTTGTCCTTGTGCTTGTCATAGGCCAGAAGGATGTTCTGGGGGAGGTAAGGGCCAGTGAGGGCCTGAGTGGGGGCCAGGGCCTGAGCAGGCCCTCCACACAGGATCCCTGAGGCCCCAGTCCAAAGTAGCACCTGTGTGCCTGTGGCCGGTCTGGAGGCCACTGAGAGTCATGTGTGTCCTCTGCACACAGAGAACCCATCTCTGAGGTGCTGTGGACAGCATGGGGAAGGGCTGACACTCGCAGACGCAGCATACCCTCCATGCCCAGAATGTGCTCCTCTTACCCAGGTGGGGCCCAGCCCCCATGTACCCAGGGCCCCCTCCCCAGCCACATCAAGGACCTTTCTCCATTCCTCCGAGGACATTAGACGTGTGAGGTTCTCAGGCACAAGTTCCTGCAGGATCTTGGGGATACTAGCTAGCTGGGACCGGTCATTGTCAAACTGGGCCTTGTAGATGAGGCCTGCCAGGTGGACAGCATCCTCCCGTGCACACTTGTGGAACCCACGGAGGTACTTGGGCAGCTCCTGAGTGATGGACATGGTGGCTTCAGGCAGCGGCCCCCGACCCTTCGTGCTCAAGTGGCAGAGGCGTTAGCTCACCCCCAGCCAGGGGGCAAAGGGGAGGGTTTCTGGCAGGTCAGGGCAGGGCTCCCGGACGTCTCACCATGGAGTGGTGGCCGCCCCTCCCCTGTGCAGTCCGGGACCCTCCGCTCCCCCCGCCCCTTCCCAGCAATCACACTGCAGCCACTGGTACAGTCACTGTCCCCAAAGGCTGTCCCTCTGCTCCTGGCTTCAGAACCCTCAGGGGCTCAGCCCGCACACCACATGGGGCCTCAAGGGCCTCCAGAAGCCCCTGGAGGTGGGGGGGCGTTGCCCCGGAGCAAGGCAGCTGCTGACCTGCTGCATCCTCTACCACCTCTCAGGGCAGGTGTGGGATGGAGTCAAGGCAGACCCAAATACCCCCCAGGAGGGAGCCTGCCCGGGTACCTGGTGGTAATGAAGTATGGTGTCTGCATTTACGTCCTTCCCCGGGGTCACGTTGAGCCACAGTTTCCGCATGAAGTACACCTGGTAGGGGAGCACCACGGGGGCCCCTGGGCAGGGGGGGCAGTGAGCACCAAGGCTGTCCTCTGGCCCCGCAGATGCTTGGATCTGTGCCCCCCTCCCCCTCTTGTGGCCAGGGCATTCTGCAACCCCATCGGAACACAGGGCCTGCAGCACCCACGCCTTGCTGCAACCCCCCCCCCCCCCATCACTGCTGTGTTTCCTCTTGCGGCCTCTCCTGCTGGAAAGCCTCATCCCCTCTTCCTCCCCGATCCCCGACTCGTCCTCATCCTTCAGGAATAGTGTAGAGACCACCCCCTCCAGGGGGTCAGGCCCCCACGTAGCCTTCATCGCCTGCAGCCCAGCCATCTGTTCTGGGCCTGGCCCCGTGCCCTGGCCCCAGGTCTAGCCACACCCATGACCCAGGGGATATAAAGGGGTATGAATGAATGAATGGGCAGGGGCCATGTAAGAGGTGCCAGGGGAACCTTCTGACCCTGGCCCAGGAAGGCAGACTGTCCCTTCCCCCCACCGCCCCCTCCATCCCAGCCACATCCCTCCTTCCTTGCCCCCACCCTGCTCCCCTTACCTTCTTTCTGGGGTTTGTTTTTCTTCACCCAATCAGACACTTGCCGCAAGGAGTCAAAGAAGAAGTCTCCCTCCTTCTGGCTGATGACCTGGGGTGGGTGGGGAGGAAGGCAGAGGGACGTGTGCAGGTAGAAGGGCTGCCAGGGGAGAGCCCTCCTGGGGGCGCCGAGGGCCTGGGTCCGGCCAGGCCACCTATGGCCTGGGAGGCTGGGCGCTGCTCAGAGTTGGCTCTCACTTGCCCCCACATCGCGCTGCCCCATAAGCTCACCTCCCTTCATCCTGACAGCCCGTGTACAGTGAGGGGCCTGGCCCAGTACACGGGGGAGACTGCCACATACACCAGACACACGCCCGCCTTTCCCGCCACCCCTGGCCCGCCCAGCCGACTGCACCTTGTCCGTGATCTTGATGAAGAGGCTGCAGCCTTCCCAGGAGGCCAGCTGCAGCCTGGTGACGATGCTCTGGCATACGTCCCGCACCCGGCTGTAGGTGCCCACCTCCAGCATCTGGGCGGAGAGGCAGTGGGTGAACGTCTCAGGACGAGGCTCACAGCCTCACAGCCTGGTGCTGTTTCTCCTTAAGACTGGCGGGAGGGGTGCCTGGGTGGCTCAGTCAGTTGAGCGTCCAGCTTGTGATTTTAACTCAGGCCACGATCTCAGGGTCCTGAGACAGAGCTCCACCTGACTCCATGCTCAGCAGGGAGTCTGCTTGGGATTCTCTCTCTCTCTCTCCCCCCGTTTCTCTGCCCTTCCCCCTGCTCCTGTGTGCTCGCACATGAGCTCTCTCCTCTCTAAAATAAATAAATAAATCTTAAAAAAAAAAAATGTTGGCTAGATGTGCCATAGCCTGAGAAGGAGAAGCCTTCCCTTCTAGAAAACTGGCCGGATGCTTATGTTGTTCGGTCAGAGTTGTTTGTCTTGGGGCCCAGGGGGCTCGGCCTTTTGAACTTGCTTTGAGAGCCCTGCAGCCAGACTGTGGGAACTTTCCCTGTGGGACCCGCTGTCCCCAAGACTGTAAAGGCTGCTGGGAACGACTGCAAAGGAGCATGGTCCGCGGCCCCCCTCTGCACCTCACTGCTGCCACATGGCTGGGGCCCTCTCCACACAGCTGGGGCCTCATGTCTCCCCTCTGTCCTTCGCTGCCCCAGAAGCCAACAGGGGTTTGGTCCACAGGCGCGCCTAAGGGCAGCACCTCTTCCCCCACGCCCAGGGCAGGGTCAGAAGCCCGTGCCGGCTCCATGCCCCAGCACTCGGCTTCGCTGCCCTCCTTTGTGGCCTCCTCTCTCCTGCACCTTGGCGAGGAGTACCCCCTAGACCTATGGGACCTCCTGCCACACTAGCAGCACCCCCTGTGGGGTAGACCCTCCCTGTGCTGGCCTTGAGCACCTGAGGGCGCAGGGCAACTCAGTTAATGTCTGATGGGCCGGGTAGGAGCCGGTGAAGCTGAGAGGCCCACTCTAACTCTGAAAACAGCGTCAGTCTGCTCCTTTTGGCCCTCCATGGGTAACCGTGGTGCGGAGGGGCTTTGCTGGGGGCTGCAGCCCAGGAACCTGGGAAGCCAGTCCCTCAGGCGGGGAGGGCAGGGGCTCACCTCGCTGGTGTCGTTGGGGAAGTAGATCTTGTGGCAGATGCGGGAGATGTTCTGCTCCATGGCCTCCACCTCCACCGGGTGTGGGGGCTGCTTCCGGGGCCCCGTCCTAGAGCAGGACAAGGCTGAGCAGGCCACCCTGCTTACCCCCAGCCCAGCCCAGGCCCCAGCCACCACCTCCAAGCGAAACTCTGTGCCAGACACAAACACTAAGTAACTCTGCAACCCCAGTGGAGGACGTAGGACTCGGGCGCTGCCCCTGCCC